TGAAAAAAAAATTTGACAACATAGCAAACCAATCACAATTACAGCAAAGATTTTATGGAATCTACCTAGTGAATTAAGGTAAAAGCCTCCTGCATAAAAACATTATTTCTCTACTTTATTTACCTCTTCAATAATATTAATAGAATCATGTTTCACATCACTGGTTGACTGAGTATTTCATATACTTTTAAAGTAAATTAACCACAGCAGGCCAAGAGAATTAGAACTGACATAAAAGGTCTTTTGAAACTACCAGTTTTAGAGAGTATTACGCCTTCTTCTCATGTAAAACAGCCAGAGAGCTTAGCTACTCAGGCTACTGACACCACTGTAATAGGCTGGTGTGTATAGCATATTGCCCTGTTCAGTTCATTGATTTTTATAAATATTATTCCAACTAATATCAGGAGATTGTACTGTTATAACATTTCCAACTACAGGCATTTAGTATTTGCAAAGATCTTAAGTAGCTGATTTTCTATTCAGATGCAGACATTATTTTAGGTAACAGAGTCTAAAATAAAGGCCAAAGGGCAAATAATTTGACTGTCACATTAGGGAAACACTAACACTTAGAATTTCCTAGTCTCTCACCACAAACTTTAGCCATAAGATCATTTTTTATCTTAGAAAGCACAAGAGAAAGTAATTCATTCCCCCCTCAGCAGAAGTCTTTAAACAGTATGATATTGAGTTCCAAAAATGACAATGATGTAAGGATAGAAGGATGATCAGAGGAATGGAATTTTTTCTGTATGAGGAGAAATGTAGGATTGGGACTCTTCAGCTTGAAAACAATATTGTTGGAGAGAGTAAAAAGTGGCATTATAAACAAGAATAGCCTGGAGAAGATGAACAGGAACATAACAATGGAAGTACAGTGCATATTAAACTACCAGGCATTAGCTTAAAACAATGCAAAGAATACACTTGTTTTAAGTGTAATTAAATGAATAATTAAAGGAACGAGCTCTCAGCTGTAGTATGCAATTCATGACAAAGGTACAGATAGATGCAAAAAAGCAGCTAGACAAACTCATGAGTAAGAGGTGCATCAAGGGCTTCAAAAGAAGCCAGACACAATCTCAGGAAGTTTCTAGACTGCTGGACCTGATTAGAACACCCAAAGAAAGATCATTCAATCTCGGTCCAGTTTCTTGTATCTTCTCTGAAACACCTCACGGCAGCCAGTACCAGTGGACAAGAGTTTACACGGGTTTCCATTCTGAGGCAGCACAAACAACCCAATGCTCATCCTGCTCAAATCAGTGTCTAACATTGTGCTAGTAAGCATATACCAGCAAAATCTTGCTCCAGGGTTTTACTGTTGATATTGTACTGCTTCACTTTTGAATAATTAAACTGTTCAGCTGTTTAAATCGTCTATGAGGCAAGCCAGGCATGCACAGTATACCCTCTGAGTAAGTTTAGTATAACAGACAACCCATTAAAGCCAGACACACTGATAAAATTTAAATTTTGGTGATGTTCTTAGGCTTGTTGCCTTTCTTTCACCTAGTGGTAAGAACAGCACAAAAACAACCAAAAAATTGCTTTGATTTACAAAAACACTTTTAATGGTAAAGAGGAAGATCTTAAGAAGTAAGAATTATATAAAAAATAAAAATACCTTTGTTTCTCTAGTTTCTTCAGATTGCCTTTCTTTACTTCTAATCTTTGAAACCGGTAACTCTGAAATTTGGCTTTCCTGTGATGTATCATCTCTAATATCTAGGGTTCTCAGTCGAGCAGATTCCGTTTCCAGTACAACATCATTGCTATCTTCAAAGCTGAAATCAATAAAAGCACATGAAAACACTACATTAGAGTATTTTAATTAAAAAGCTATTACTGTTTACAGATCAAGTTGCACAGAAAAATTATGCAATTTTGACATTAAATAACTACATGCGTTTCAGAGAATCTGACAAGTTTTAGTGATGTTTGCAGGATATGAGCTCTAAGCAGCTTTCATACTTTCGCAATGCTATTAGAAGATGATGTTAAAATCCCATCTGAGTATTCTACACTAGATAGTTTTTTAAAACAGACTTTAGTAACATAAACACCATATGCAGAAGCTTTTTTTTCCCCTGATCTTCTGTAACAATCTATGTTGAGTTCAAAGACAAATACTGTTCCTTCATATGCTTCCAATGAGCTATTAAAGCACATAAAAGTTCTTGGAGTCTGTACGAAATAACAAACAATTACAATACAGCTAAATACAACAGTTAACATGAAAAAGTCTGAAGTAGCACTAACAGCTTCATAATGACTTTTTAGATTTACCACTTTCCTTTATACAAGTTTAATAAAACATTCACTTTCTTTCTAGTAAAAGAATGCCCAAAATTGAAACCAAAAGCTTGCCTCCCACCTAGGTTTTGCACAAATGAAGTCCAAGCAACTTTACTGCCCTACAAGAACCACCTTATTAAAAACAGATATAAATTCCAAGTGTATAGCAACATTATTTAGCAACATTACCAAGCAGTGCTTTGAGAGAAATACTAGGAGTTAGGATAAGCCAATAGCCTTCATAAACACCATTAAAAAAAAAAGGTGAAAGCAGTTTTCATGGTATTTTAGTATTAATGTAAATTAACTTTGCAAGGGCAGCCCATCAGTGGAGAGAATACATTGAGAGTGTAAATTAAAAACAGCTTACTAAAACCCAGGACAGTCCTCAGAAACAAAGCATGAGTAAACAAACCCAATATTAAAACTTTAAACTATTTTTTATTTTGCTTAAGCTTTCCATTGTAAACATTACCTGCATAAATTGACATCACTTTCTCTCTCCATTATGTCATCCACTGATAAAAAGGACTCTGATCTCTCTTCCTCTGTAATAGCAGTCTCATTTTGTTTTCCTTCTACAACACTATCCAGTTCTTCTCTACAGGTAGTATGACCGTCATTGTTTGCATCACATACCATTTTTTTTTCTGCTAATGAATGAGAATTATATCAATTTGGACATTCTGGGCAACATCTTAGAATTCCAATTCTCACATCCTAGTGAAGCAAGAGTTAATTTAAAACAAAAAGCTCAGTAGAAAATGCCTAAGTATTAAGATTTAAGAGAACTGTTATCAGCAAAAATAAAATGTTTAGATTTAGTATGAAAGCTGATTTTGAAAGGCATTGTTCCACAACTTCCCAAGGCAGATCAGGGATATAAATCAAAACCCAAGTTCTCATTTTTAAGTTTGCAATATCTTTATATAAAATTTATATTTGAACCTTTAAAAGTGAGCATTTTTGCCTCTTACTTTTCTTAGAGGATTTCCCTTCTTCAGCAATTTTTGAAGGGACAGCCATTTCTTCTGGAAGATTCTCCACTTCCTGTTCAAGATCATTTTTTCTCCTCTTCTTTCTCTTCTTTTTTGCTAATACTGGCTCTAATGCAACCTGTTCTTCTGCCTGTTCAGAAACGCCCAAAGATTCCTCATTTTCTTTCTCAGCCGTCACAGCATCAGCTTCTGTTTCTGCATCAGAAATTCTGGCTTCCCGAAGATCATCCTGATCATTAGCAGCTTCTGTACTGGCAGCTTTTGCTATTGAGACAATATGGTTCCTGGTTAATAGACCGGTGGAGTATCAGGAGTCATAAATCGCAAAGATATTTCCATTAGCAACATATTGTGAATTCATACATCACTGCCAATACCATGAGAAGTCAGCCACTGACCTAATAGAAAAGCTTCAGCATAGATTAACTTCAACACTAAATGCAAAACACATTCTGTACATGGGACTACACTTCACCAGGGCAAAGTCAATACAGGATGTAAAGCCAATTCAGTAAATGTTCTTGTTCCTATACTTTTTAACAGACTACATAGTCACTTTTGGATCCAGGAAAAATAGGCGTTGCTACTCCTGAAAACGATTATCATCTCTCTGCAGAAAGAGGTGATAATGGTTGCAGAAAGTATGCCATGAAAAAGTAATTTGATCAATAGATGTACTGTAGTTAATCCTTCTTATTTACATAAGAAACCTAAATTATTATCTAGCTAATAATCCACAAGTTCTTTTCTGGGTTTAACAAGTTTCTCAAATTCTCCTCCCTACCCTTTTCAGGACATTTTGTCTTGATCTTGTATTTTTGCAGAACATCAACCGCCAAGAACCTTTCCCTGTCCTTTTTATTGTTCTTATACAAACTTGTTCCCCTGTAATTAAGAAAACCAAAATGCAAGAGAAGTAGAAAAGCATACACACATTGCTTTACACATGAAGTACCTTTAATCTACCATTAAAGTGTATGAACGGAATTTCTATATGTAGCTGTAAGTCCTAACAGGTGGGACATTTTACTTAATCAAACCTGAAATCAAGGCTATAGAAAAGCAGCAGCCATGTCAATTTTAAGAATTAAACAGTGATGTTGCTTCCTAGCTAGCATCCCCTTTAAAAAGGTTGTTCACTTGTTTGTTCCACAATACCACTTAGACGAAAATGGGTTCTTGTGTGAGAAACAAGTGAACAACCCAACAGAGTTATCAGGTAATCTGTGAAATGGTGTCAGTAACTGTTTTTAATTTAAGCACATCTGTGAAAGGTCCTTTCACAGGTACTGAGGTAATAGGACACTATATGGTGATCAATAGTAATTAAACATAATCTTTATCCTTTATTTTGAACAGACCAGAAAACTAAAACAACTTTTACAAGACTCCCTGAAAAGAATCATACCCTTCAGACTTAGAGAGTCAAAATATAATTAAAGGAGAAACAGAACCCTCAAAAGAAAACAGTTTAAAATATAAGAAAAATTTAAATTAAAAGTCACAGAAGAACTTGCCAAAAATACGGTTTTGACCCAAGGATTCTAAAAGTGACTTTATTAGCAACTCACGGAGATACTATTCAACTGTTTAATTAGAATATCCTGTTTAGAGCACCAGTGCTTCAGACTGTGGAAGGGCACTAATCTCAGTGTGGTCTCACATTCCTGCCCAGAGAAAACGCACCTCAGGAAACTGGCTGCTACCAATTATTACCATCCCACACATCAGTAAATGATGTCTGAAAAAGCTATGCTACAAAGCCAGGATCCTCTTGCCCCGTCTGGAACCGGGAAGGAAAAGATTCCCTACGTGATTTTTTTCTCTGCTAGCAACACATTACTGACCACTGCTCTAATGATATCCCAAGCATTCTTTTGAAGTACCTTTCGGCTTCTTCCTAGGCCTTGATGGCTTCTTTTCCTTTGGCTTCTGGCTTTTAACAGTCTTTTGTTTCCTCTTGTCCTCATCTGCCAAGACCTTCTCAAGCAGCTGGGCAAAGAATTCAAAATCAAAGGGCCGCTTTTCTTCTGTCAGAGTAAAGCAAAGAAACAGAAAAGATTTCAAAGTTGGTAATTTTTCCAAGTTTCTGCTTTGTAAAACAGTCAGTGTTACATGTTATGATATTAAAAAGCAAAGGTTACATAAATTTAAACAGAGAATTGTTTTTGAAAGTACTTTCTGTATCACATGAGCAGGGACTAGAGTTGACATATATAGGGATTATGGTAGCTTGGTTTTAAAAAAAAAAGTAAAAAAGGTTACAGTACTTAGTAGTGTCGAAAATTTAAGAAGTGGCAAATACATGAACTGTACCATAGTATCAGATAACGTATTAACATGCTGCTCTAGGACTTACATAGCTCATTCAAATAATACACAAAGCCTTTAATGATTCTCAAAGCAGTTTACAATAAGCAACTGTGCTAGAAGTTCCTATGAATCAGAATAATCTTCAACTGAATATAGGAAAGTTTATATTAACCTCATTTATCAGACTTACAGAAAAGCCAGAAATTAAACCTAAAGATCTTTACTGTGAACCATGCCTGTTACAAAAATCTAAGATTCCCCAGCTTCTGAACTCACATATGAGCAAAAACTTTTTCTTATAATTTACTCAAGCGAGGCAAAGCACAAAAATTACCATGAAAAAAGATGACTACCATTTAATGACTCATTGTAGGGCAGGGTACATTTACTTTACTTACTGAAAGCTTTGTCTATCCTCCATCCATTAGCTTTTTCTTCACGTTTGAACTTGTTCTAAAAGCAAAGGTATATTTGTCCTTTTCAGTAAGCAAGAAATGCAACAATATATGGTACAAAATGGAAGATCAAGATAAACCTTCTTCAATGCAACAAAATTTTCTACCAACTAAAGTTGTTAAACCTTACAAGCACACTCACAGAACATGAGTTTGTAATTAATTTTTAAATACAAAATCTGTCACCAATAGATATCACCAATCATAATTTTTTATTATTTTCAACATGTCCTTACTTCCAATCTAAGCAGGGTTTGAAACATCGACAATTTTCCCAGCTGGATACTATGAAAGAGGCAACACAGAAGACCCTCACCAAACATCCACTTACGCTTAGCAGCATTCGTCAATTAAAATAAAATTGAGACAAACTGTGTCTAGATATGCTAGATTTACAAGATATGTTGATGGGAATTCAATCCAGCATATTAATGTTTCAGATACTTACTACCTCTTGGAAACAGGTATTAAAAAAACATTGCTACAGAGCCAGTTCGCATCAAAATTATCAATACTAATAGAGAAAGCACAGGAATAGCAAATGAGAAACAGAAAAATGAAAACAGATGTTTATTTGCTTTATTGAGTGCTTTAATTTTTACCTTAATTTCTGCTCTGGCTCTATGAGGAAACAGCCGTCCAATCAAGGAGAAGTCTGTTCCTACCATACTGATAGCTAAAAAGAACATGTCTGTTTCTGGAGGGAGTTTAAAAAAAAAAAGAAAGAAAGAAAGAAAGAGACACACACTTAAGTATTTAGTTAACCATCTTTCTTGCTATCTGAAATAAAAACACCTTTCACACTTAACGCAACGAGGTAGATAGCCTTAAAGTTATCTACTGTGGCTGCAAGTTCAGCTGGGCTTGGAGTATGTGTGTTATTTTACTTAAGTACCTCTAATAACATTTGCTGAATGAACTATTAACAGAAAGAACTGTCTAATCCATTATAAAACTGCAGAATGTGAAGTATGTTTTGTAAAGCTAGTAAATCATAGCTAAACAACTCCAAATTGCCAATGTTCATATTTATTATGAACACAACCACCAGCAGAAATCAGAAAAATGCATGTGTAAAAATACAATTTCCATTATTATTTGTTAACAGGAAAAGACTGCATTCCAAAAGCAGCACAGTGAATTCTGAAGCTAAATTTTCCATCTACAGCTGTAAAAAAAACATTTTCAATTGTAAAAAGTCTTGCACAGTGTTGTCAGCCTAGAGATAATAATCAATTCACAGCAGGCATAATAAAAAAAACAACCCACCCACTCATAGAAACACAGCTGTCCATGTGCACTGGAATCAACCCACATAGAGATGGCTTATAGAATTTATTCCTGCCCATGGTGGAAGAACCAAGTAAAGAAGCTGTTAAGAAGTGCTAATTGTTTCATATAGAGCTCAAATATCTGGACACCAGAATCCAATATTACGCTTTTGATAAGGCAGACTAGCATTTCCACAGCATCTAAACGTTCATGACAGAAAAAATTCACAGGTAGCCTGCATATCATAAGGCACTGGATATTTTTAAACACGCCAATTTTCACAGTAAACATCAGAGCTCTGCTTGTTATAAGAGTTTGGAGGGTTGAGACTGTCACACATAAGTATATCTATTTACTCCACTGGGAATAGAAATTGTTGAGTACAAAGCATAGATGGAAAACTAAGATTTTTCTGCAGACTCAAAACTTGAAACCAAAAATATACTCACCTCTATTTGACCATGGTTTTGTGTAAAAACTTTTCCTGAAGCTGGAATATGTAGTTGTAGAGCCACGCTCAAAGATGGGATCATTTTCTTCTACAACACATGGACCTTTTGTTCTTAGAACTTCTACAGTTAAACTGGAAAAACAAACACACACAGAGACTCATCTGAAAATATTGCTAACAAGACACATAGTACATGTTTATAAGCCAGCTATTCAGATTTTTCCTGCCATAAGTCAGAGTTTGTACTGTAATCAGGTTTAATAATTACATTAACATGTATTTCAATGGGAGAATGCTGCAAGAAATCATTAACCTACTCAGCCTATGCAAGTAAATTTGCTTTTCCCTTTTTGTAAGATATAGTACAGACAGACATAATTGAATATCTTACAAAACAAAAACAAGAAAAGATTGTCTTTTTAACATTCAAGAAAATTATTTTGTAAAACCACAAGAGCCTCTCCGTATTCTTTTAGACTACTTTCAAATTCCTTTACCAGGCCTGCTCTAGCCTTACACCTTGGCCTAAATCTCATGCTAATAATACATTTGGGGAACTAAACAATTTGGTAATCTAATACTTTAAAAAAGTAATATTCTAAGCAAAGTTGCTCAAAACACTGACAACTGAATAAAGCAGCAACATGCAAGATGCAAAGCTGGAGCAAGTCATAGTGACAACGGAGTAACAGCAAGCAGACACATGCAACTGTGAGAAACAAAGAAGTTAACTAAATAGAAGACATTTGGAAGTTTGACAAATATTCAGTATTCATTCACTGTAATAATATGACATCTTCTTCTCTATCTCCTTCTCCAAAAACATTTCCCATAGAGAAAGTTTGCCACTACTGAGATGCAGATAACTGCTGCTCATATTTTGCCACATATTTGCACTGTTTCCTAAGTTAGGATCTCAACACAAACACATTCACGTTTATCCCTATCCAAAGTAACTGTTCTCTATTCACAAACTAAGCAGCAATGTATATATATTGTCCTTGAGTCAGGCACAGAATTTGTTACCTTTCTTCATCCAGAATAATTGAACCATCTTCTGCTACTTTCACACGAGGAACTAGAAGTGGACCGTCCTGACTCTCCTCCCCATTCTCTGCTTCTTCTTCCTCATCTTCCTCTTCATGATCAGGAGTACTTTTCTCTTCCTGTCTACAATTTTAACAGACCAAGCAAAAACTTTTGTTAGTGTTTTGAATTGCTGCTCTGTATGCCAGATGTTCAACAATTTAATGAACCATCCAGCAATGCAACCCACCAGCAAGTTAGTGAATACACAAACTCTGGAATCTGTTTTTTGCTCTATTGTAAAATGGACAAATCCAAAAACATAATATTGAAAGCAAAATGCTCTTTAACCACCCTCCCCTCCCAAATTATAATTTGTTATAAATAAGAGCTATGATATTGAAACAGGAAAAAAAAAAAAAAAAAAAGACCTACACTGTTAGTATTACCACAGAAACATGTTTTTTTCCCCAACATCAGAAAACTTTTTGACTATAAGTACTTCCATCACCAAGACTTACTCTTTCATTTGACCCAGTGCAGAATTTTTATCTGTTCTCTTTTCTTCTGCCAACGAAGACCTAGAATTTTATAAAAAGCTACAGATGAACTTTTGTACAGATACATTTCTGCTTCATTCCACAAAACCTGCTTTTAGTGGATAATGGACAAAGAAACACAAAGCTTTTTTTCAATTCTTTGTACCACACTTAGACTTGAGTCTAACTGAACAGCCACCCCTGCTTAATGAATTTTGCTTTTTTTTGTATAAGCAAGGACAAAAAAAAAGATATTTCAAGCAGTAATCCATTGCGAGGGTACAGAGAATGTGAGAGAATGTTCATTACCTGCTCAAAGACTACTCAGCGTGAAAGAAAAAATAACAAGGAAAGTGATAAATAAAACACACAAGCACACAAACATTAACAAGAAGGTGGTAACAGACAGTAACAGAAAACTCGTCTGCTACTGAGAGGAAGAACAGGACTTGGACAGCTGTACTTATGTTTATGTGATTGTTTTTGGTAGTTGCAGGAAAAACGCCCTGCTCTGTCTGTGGTAGTCTGTGCAGCTAGCTGCGTTAGTGTTCCCTGTATATATGCACCTCTGGGATGCTCACTCAGCCTTGCTACCGGCAAAATCTGTAAAGGGAACAGTAGCAGCTGTTGGAATGGAGAGACCTGCTGGGTCTTGCAGTGCATTTTGCACGTCAGCACCTAGGATGGAGAAATGCTTAGCTTCCTGTAGTCCACTAGATTTGGCAGGCAGCCATAACTAAAAATCTAATAGCAGTGAATAAAAAAAAAAAGAAGAAAAATATTTTCTATTATTCCGCATTTATACAGACATAAATCAACACTAGGGACAGGTTCACAGTTTTTATATTTCAACAAGAACACTAATCTCCATTCTCATTTCTGTATGAAGATTGAGTAGATGTGAAAATGTCTAGTAGCTTTTGTTACCACTGCAACAATACTGCATCTGTGCTAATACTTCAGATTTAAGAATTCTCCTTTTCACAATTATTAAATTGGTAGAAAAAGAAAATCATTTAACCTAAGGAGAGAGAAAGAGAGTCATACTTACTTCATAGGATTGTTTTCTGGCAGATAGTATATCAAGTCTCTCATGGTCATTTTAGAACGATCTGGTGGAGAACGCCCTTCAATTACTGGAGGCCTGTGTTTCAACTGTTTCCATATAAAAATTAAAAAAAAAACCACTTAAATTCACCCTGAAAGTATTTTATATTTCACAAATGAGTGTTTTCCTTTGTTTACAAAGTATCCCGTTCAGGCAGTTTGTTGTTTCCCTCCCCGCCCCCAATAACTGAAGGAAGTTTATCTTAAAAGTGTCCCTTTGTCAGAGAGGATGTCACAGACCCTTAAGTGACTTACACTCTCAGAGAAATTCAATACTTGGCACAAGTAAAAAGCGAAAAGTTATTCAAAATCACACAACTCAGTCAACAATCAAGTTGAAAAGATATGAGAAACTCAAAACCCAAGCTTCTTAGAGCACACTTCCCCGTTGTATTACCAACTGTGAAACTTTTAAAATTGGAATGTTGACTATAATATAATAGCAGGTCTTATGTCAAAAAGGCTTGTGGGTCTAATCAAATTAAAAGATACACAATTTCTCATGAAATCTGGATTATGAGGGAACCCAGTGCTCCTACTGCTTATTAACAGATGAAACCCAAACAGCGTTATGAGATATCACAGTGACTGACTACGAGCAGTAAGGAGCTGATGATCATCAGAAAACACTACTGCAAAGAGATAATGTATGTTAGGTGAATCACATGTCTTTGCCCTTCACAGATCAGCACTGCTCAACACAGAGGCCTACCATCCGCTCTTTCTTCAGCTCTTCTTTAAGCATTTCTCTTAACTTCCGAGCTTTGAGGATCCTTTCACGGTCAGAACACATTCGTTTCTCTTTTACAGGAACAGGTTTCATAGGTAGCTTTTCCTCTTGTGTTCCTGATCTTTCTTGTGTTGGTCTCTCCTTGAGTGGGGAGGGTACATTCTTCTGCAGAGTATCATCATTTTTTTGTGCAGCTACACCTAAAGTTTGCTCTTTGTTCACCGATTTTTTTAGTGGGGAAAACTGTGGCACTTGTGGCACAGGTGTTTTCTTTTCAGGCAGCATGGGGGACTTCAAGGTGCTTTCAACATTACTCTTTTCTGATGGAGAGGAATCCTTCTGAAGTGAAGCACTGCCATCAGGAGCCTGTGATGCTCGCCTCTGCGGTTTTGATGCAGAACGCTGAGCAAGTGAAGGTCCAGCTCTGGGTTTGACAAGATTGGGCATGGTGGAGATCCGTTTTCTTCTCTGTGTAGGCATCTCTGCAGGTTTACTAGCTTCTCCAGCATCATTTGAGCTATCAGCCTTGTCATCGCTGGAAAATTTAAGAGAGTATTCTGAAATACTTTACAGTGACAGATTTTTAACTCTTACTTTCAAGATATGTTTATGCGCCAATCAGTATAAACTCAGTGCTACAGAAAAATACAGTTATATACAAGAAGCCACACTAGAACCAACCTGTAGCTGGTAATTCCTCATAAACTAATCCGCTATAAGAACCGGTATATTATTTTCTAATATTAATTACTATTATTTAATGTTACTGTTAGAAGCTACTTGACCAACAGTGCTAAACTCACATGTTCCTTCCCCACTCCCTCCTTTTTTGGAAGGCTCCCTACTTTCAGCTGAGAATACCAAACATCATAATACAATAAAGCTTTTTAAAAAATAATCCACATAACATAGGTGACATATTAAAAACATTTTAATAAAGCTATATGCAACAAGTAGTTTGATGATTTTTATTACAATCAGTCTGAACATTCCTCTTATACATTTGCAAGTAGAGGACATGTAAACTGTGAATTTGAAAAAAACCTCAGCAGCGAAACTGGCTGCTGTTAACGTACCGCTCACCCTTAACATATCAGAAGTAGCCTTTTAGAGTCAACAGCTTTTAGCTTTCCTGAAAAGCTTTCTATTTAAGTATTTTTTCCATCCCTTACTCAGAAATAATTTTCAAAGTGCAAGCAAAATTGCCAACCATTATGACCTTCCTACATCGGCAGACTCCTCCAGTGTTTGGCTCCTTGGCTGTTGTTCACAGTGAGACTGCAGCAGAACTGCAACTGAGTCATAAAGAGTTTTTTTAATTTTACATTGGAACTATGCCTTGTTTCTGTACATAAGGACAACCACACCCATGGTTCACTTAGCCATCTTCAAAAACAGTCAGAAGCCAGTGCCTTTGAAGGAATACAAGAAAAGCATAAACATAGAGTGAAACTTTTCCAAATCCTCTCCAGCTACTATCTGTGATGCAGGCAAATGCTGCAGATGATGTTTTTGTATTTAACAGCCCCAGCAGACTTTTCTGAATCAACCTATCCCACACTGAGTTCATATAGATTTTTAGTACACAGAATGCTCCCCAACAAAGAGTTCAGCAGCCCTACTACATGGTGTCTGTCTGTGTGTTTTGAATGAGATCCTTGCGAGTTTCATTCAACATCCTCTGGTTTTTGTACAGCAAGAGACAGTGGAAAGTAATTTTCTTTAATCTTCTCCATACCACCTGCGTTTTGTGGAGTTTTAAATCAGAATGCCACACCAGATTTCTGAACAGTTAAATATAATTTAGCAGAAACTGTATTTTAAAAAAACAAAAATCTTATACTCAGAGAATTTTCATTCCCTGATAATCAACAAAACCCATTCAGCATTTAGAAAACAAAACGAAGAAAAGTACTGACACTACAGATGCAGGTTTGAGCAGCTGTGAAGAAATGCCTTAGGTTGGAAGAATAAATATGCAAGATATTTTCACATTTGCCTTTGCTTTTCTTGCAGACCACACAACAAACACATTGTGCTGTATGTCATTAATTACTGCACTCAAGAAATCAAATCATGTGATTTCCCTCAAATCCACTCTTCCTGAATCTTCAGAGACACCCAGGAGGCCAATCTTTAAAATGCATTATCTAGAGAGACAGGACTCCAAGAAGCTAATACTGCCTACACTGCAATAAATCCCTAGGCCTGCTCTCTCCTATCTGGTTGCTATACACCTTCAAAAGCAACCAAAAACTTTAAGCAGCTATTCAGTGGAATTTAGGGTGACCAAACGGGGACAAGAAGGGAGCAGTTCTCACCTGTGCCTTTTCTACTTGCTCCTGGGACTAAAAGTTCCCCTGAGAGTCTCCCAGCAGTTTTATACTGGATACCACTTTCTCCCTCCAGCTGAGCTGTGGAACCCACCACAGCACTCCAGTGGTCTACATGTCTCTTCCAGTAAGTGCATCATTTTCCAAATGTACTTCTCCAAACAAGCTCTTTCCTAGCCATATCCCACATGTTTCACTGCATTGGCAAACTGAAGAGGTTTATACGCTACATTCAACGTGAACAACTTCCATCACAGTCCTAAATTTCTTACAACTGCTCTACTTTTTCCTTAAAACAGCAGGATGTGGTTTTGTGGATTTGTTCACTTGGATATTTTCTGCGTTTATTGAGGAAAATATTTTATGAGCCTGTTACTTGTATGGCAAAGGCCTATTTTTCAAGCAAAATGAATAGATTTCTTAGAATATTCTCCCTTTCAGAACAGCATTTCTGTCTAGTTTTGAAACTTACAATTAGATGACGCTGAAGCACCCATTAAATTACAAACACAAAAATCTTTAATAAATATGCTGAATCAGCAACAGTACCACATAATTGAAAAACTGTATCTTCATTTAAGAAAAAAGTTCTGGATAACAAAAGATCCAGTAACCTGATCTCTGTAACACATAAACTTTAAAAATAAAATTTGAAAGAAAAATATTCTTATAGCACATTGCAAAACAAGTTTAAGTATAAAAGATGGAAGATACAAGCTGAATAAAAGGCAGCATGGGTTTACCAAAGACATGCCATGCCAATCAGTCCGATACCTGAATTTCTAGTCACAGGAAACAGAATAATGTAAGAAGACCTTGTATTATGTCATAAAGAACAAGTTTCAACTAAAAGAATAGAGGTATTCATGCAAGATGCAAAACCAACTAGTTAAAAGAACTGAGAAGGTTGTTCTGAAGAGGAATTATCAGACTGGGGAAACATCCTGAAGAACTGGTCTGTACTGCTTTTGGCAGGGATAGAGTTAATTTTCTTC